CAACAGTAGTGACACTACAGACATTGATAACCATTAAAACAATACAATACAAAATTGGAAAGAATAACTAAATATGAAATATTTATTACAATAATGTAGATAAGAAGAAAAAAGAATACTAAAAAGAGATATTTATATGAAACAATTACCATATAAATACACTATCATAAAGAATTGTCATTAAAGAAAGCAGATATTCTTCAACAACAGTGCCATTTTACCTTTTAATCTCTGTGTGTCCAGATCTTCGTGACCTTCTCGGCAGTGGTTGGAGTGGCGGTTTATCGCATCTGCATGTTGAGCGTTTGGTCCATGAACCCCGATCCCGAAGCCAAGGCCAGCGTGAGGATGACCGTCACCACCACCGGCATCATCCTCAACATGCTGGTGGTTCTGGTGTTGGAGGAGGTCTATGGTGCGATTGCTGTGTGGCTGACGGAACTGGGTACAGTACTTAATGCTATGGATCCGCAATATTATAAATGTTCCATTGGAGATTGTGGCGCGACGGGCCTGTTATTGACTCAGGAAGCACACTCTTGGTTGAAAGTCATGAGCAGGTCTGCTTTACATGATGTTCACATCTGCTGTGTCTCCTTCCCGACAGAACTTCCAAAGACAAAGGAAGAGTTTGAAGAGAAGCTGATCTTTAAGTCTTTCTTCCTCAAGTCCATGAATGCCTTTGCACCTATTTTCTATGTGGCCTTCTTCAAGGGCAGGTGTGTGTCCGTTTTAAAGTCTCACTGGGCTCGGTTGTCGTTCTTTGCTTTCTACCATGGAACTTGCTTCTCTCTTCATTTAGGTTTGGTGGGCGGCCTGGCGATTACGTTTATGTCTTTGGAGACTACCGCATAGAGGAGGTTTGCTCAGTTGGACACATTGGCGCTTGTTGTTGATTGCCATGCACAGAAAATGTGCACGCATGACGTGTTTTTTTTTCTCATCACAGTGCGCTCCGCCAGGCTGCCTCATCGAGTTGTGCATCCAGCTCAGCATGATCATGCTGGGAAAGCAGCTCATCCAAAACAACGTCTTCGAGGTTCTCATACCGTATGTATTATACATATATAGATGTTCTATACTTCCAGGGTCACACAACACATTTACTAATAATTATTATTTTTTTCGCAGTAAGCTCAAAAAGATGTACAGAACAATACTGGAAGAAAAGGTTAAGAAAAGAGCAGCAGAAAATGAAGAGAATGCCACAGAAGAGAAGAGACCGAGGCAACAATTTGACAAAGATTACGCTCTGGAACCCTATGAAGGCGTGACGCCAGAGTACATGGAAATGAGTCAGTCTGTTTTAGTCTCACTCTTTTCACTTACCGAGTCACCCACTGCTGCAATCCCATGATCATTGAACTATGCGTGTGCATTCGTATTTACAGTAATCCAGTATGGGTTTGTGTCTCTCTTCGTGGCCTCCTTCCCGCTGGCACCGGCGTTCGCACTGCTCAACAACGTCATTGAGATACGCCTCGATGCTGCCAAATTTGTGACCGAGATCCGACGGCCGGATGCTGTGAGGTGTAAAGACATAGGTACAATGAAACGTGAGGTTGTTCTGTCAGTCTCTGTGTGAGTGTGAATCAAGTGGAACTTTTAATCACTTTTCTTTTCCTTTACTCCACCCTGCCCCACACCCACACACACACATCCCTCTCCCTCTCTTCCTGTTTTCATGCACATGCTGTCTCCAGGGATTTGGTACAACATTCTCTGTGGAATCAGCAAGTTCTCTGTAATTACCAATGTAAGTGTGCGTGGCTGATGAGTCTTTGATGTTTACTTTGCCCATGACCATTGATCTGTGGCAGAGAGAGTTTATCTCAGTTAAACAGTTATAGTTATCTCTAACTAAATAGTGTTTGCATTATTCTGTCTGTTTGTATACAGAACACATGGGGTATGTCCTTCAGGTCTAACGCGCACGTTGAAGGAGTTTCCTTCCTCGTAAAACATTTCCAATGCATTTTTTGTAATAATTGGCTTGAATTCATTTTAGTTCATGAGGGAGAGCAAATAGACCTTCATCACAGTAGAACATTTAGACTTGTCATAGGTGGAATGGCACTTGGCAGAAGAAGTTTATTGTGACAATTACTGTCAATTAACAGTCAATTTCACCTGCACTTTTCTTCTTATTAAGATTAATCTTGGTGGTTAATGAGATGTATGTCAAATATGGACATGAAAAACGTTTTAGCGTATAAAGTAAAATATAGATGCTGACTAGTCAATGTGCAGGAAGTAAGTGGTTCGTTAACCATCATAATCCAGTGTTGTCGTTTCCCCAACTTTGTTTGTCTTCTCAGGCGTTTGTCATCTCCTTCACGTCAGAGTTTGTTCCACGCATGGTTTACCAGTACATGTACAGCGTAAACGGCACTATGAATGGCTACACAGAGCACTCACTGTCCTACTTTAATGTCAGCAACTTCCCGCCGGGCAGCGCGCCCACCACTGCCCTCGTCACCGGAGTCTCAATGTGCAGGTCAGAGTAACTCTTTTAACCCTAATCTCGAGTTCCCATTAAATCCTTGAGCCTTACTCTACTTAAACCCACACTTCTTATTTACTGTATTCTGGAACTGCAGAATATGGCATTTATGCAGGAGTTTTACTGAGGAGAATTATGCGATTTTTTTTTGCCGTGTTGTGTAAACGTGTTTATTCATGTGTTTTTCAGGTATAAAGACTACAGAGACCCACCTTGGGACACGGAGGCCTACACCTTCTCTAAACAGTACTGGTCGGTACTTGCTGCAAAATTGGCCTTTGTCATATTCTTCCAGGTATGGATGTAATATTTACAATTGTATGTTAATGTATGTCTAAAAAGCCAATGTTTCCTTTTCCCAAATTGAAAATCTATACAGCTCACTGTTTGCCGCTTAATGAGATCATTATCATGTCAGCTACCATAAGGTCAGGGATCAGTCTGAAGCCTGCCATAAATTACTGTATCCTCCCAACTTAATGAGGTAAATACAAACCTGATACCAAGCCGGCTGCATGTCGATTGTCATATTGTAAAGACTGTTGACCCACTGTAGAAAATAAGTGTCCTATTATAAAATAAATATTTAACTCTACTCATGCATCGCAAAACCAAACTTCTTATTTCCCCTTTAGAACCTCGCCATGTTCCTCAGCATGTTGGTGGCCTGGATGATACCAGACGTACCGCGATCTCTAAGGGAACAGCTGATGAAAGAGAACATGATGCTGATGGAGTTTCTGCTAAATCAAGACCAAGAAGCACGTGCCAAATCTCCCTCCCCGAAACGCTCCATCCCGCCCTTCAACGCCAACATAGACATTGTGGTGGAGGCACCACCAGAAGACGTGGAGGAGCAACGAGTGGAGGAGGAAAGAGTCGAGATCAATCTGGATGAAACGAGGAGGAGCGGTGACAGTGAGCCAGAGGTCGGGAAGTCGTTGGAAGAAGTTGAAGAAAATGGACAGGAAAGGCAGAGAGGAGAGGGAGAAGATGAGGTTGGAGAGGTGGAAGTGGGAGAAATGGAAAAAGATGGCGACCAAAAGAAAGAGGATGGATACAGAGAAAATAAGCAAGCGGAGGCAGAGGGAAAAGAGAAAGTGGCTCAAAGTAAAGAAGAACAGAAGGAAGTTGACAGTGAAACAGTGGAGAAGGAGGATTTTATTGTCGATCTGGACGCCATCATGAGCGAGCTCGGGCTGTTGGGTGAGAGAGAACCTTGTGTATTTGTTGTTTATTTTTTGGGTGTTGCTTGTGTCAAGATATTGATATTTCTTTTTCCTCTTTATTTGATTCCTTCTCACATAGATGACAATCTTTCAACGAGCACGCCCAGAGATACAGAGTTCCCCCGCTCAGAGTCCGAACAGCAATACCAAAAAGACCAGCAACCTCTGCGTCACCTGTCTTCCGAAACAGGCTCCGGGTCACAAATGACATCAGATAGCAGCACGGGGCTAATTGCTGCTCCTCCCAGAGAGCAAGGCTTGAGGGGGAAGGCCCGCTGTTTCACGCTGCCTTCCCGCAGCAAAGGGGCCGAGGCCCGCTACAGCCTGCCGCGGCCGAGCCACTCCGCCAGCCTCCCGAGGCCGGACACGCTCGCCCCCGTGGTTCCCCTGGCCGCCCCGTCGTCGTCTTCGTCCAACCCGTGCCCTCCCCTACACACGTCTGTGTCGCCATCATCATCATCATCATCGCCACCTGCCACGCCGTGCCCGTCAGCACAACGGCACAGAGCCCCCGGTGAACTGTTTGCGTTGGAAGGCCCTCCTCCTCCGCAGCAGCCGCGCCCCAGGGGCAAAGTCCGGTGCTCCACCCTGCCCCCCCGGCACAGAGCCGCCGGAGCCGAGGAGCCTTCCACCAAGCCTAGCCATTCCACCAGCTTGACAAAGCTGCACCCCCCTCTGCCCCGGTGAACTGAAATGCAACGCACCAGCATGAGGATCGCTGGAAGATAAGGGAAAAGCACAAACTGCGGCAGAGGGGGTCGGGGGGTGGGGGGCGGAGGACTATCCAGATTAGCTTCTCCCATCTGTCCCTGGAGACCTCCGTCTGACCTTTTTGCATATATAACACCTGGGATCTGAAGAGAGACCATCTAGAGGAACTGAATATCCTTTTCATCCTCTTAGTCTTCATGGACCACTCGGTGGTTTAGCGCTGACCCGGGCAAGGAGACGCATTGGCAATGCAGAAAAAGACCGCTTTGAAACTCCCGATTGCATGCTCGAAAACTACACCACTTAAACTTTAACCTCTACTTGCATTTTTTTTTTTTTTATCATGTCTCGTTTTCGACTGCACCGCACAGCTAGTATCAACACTAATGCTTGTAGCTACTGTTAATTCTTAGTTGTTTCGATATATAAAAATGTAAAATGATAATAAAAGGACGACATATTTTTGATACCTGCTTTTGTCTCTAAAATTTCAAAGTCATGTATTATGTTATATCATAGCCAGAAAGTCTTTGATTTTTTTTGCAGTTTATATTAAAAATACACCCATATTCAGATCAATTATTATTTTCACGGGCCGCAAGCTGAATACAGTTGATTCAAGACAGCACCTCTGGTGCGTTGTGGATCATTTGTTAGTCAGTGTGCTGCATTTGTATATAGAGTGTTGCATTACTTTTTGTATCACTCTTTTCATTATCAGTATTCTCCTGCTAAGTACTTTTATAAATATCAGATGTGATTTGTAATAAATCAGTAATGTTTCCACATGAAGCCGCTGTAGAGAAAATAGTTCAATGTAACCAAGGTTACTTGGATTTTCATTGGTTGGTTCGTCCCAGGCAGCTATTAGACAGAGTGGGTGTTAATCTCTGTGTGCAGGAAAGTTCTTTCCTCTCCAAAACCTGAGCCACCTCCTCCTCCTCCTCTACCCCTGAATGTGGCCTTTGTAGGGGGCTTCCCAGCATTCCAAGGGGAATTCTTGCAGGTGAAGGTATCTGTCCCACGTTTAAAAGACTGCTTCTACATCAAGGGAGCCCAGTGATGAACTTACTTTACTTTACTTGCTGCAACTTCAAGTGTGTGATTGCAAGAGCAGAAAGGGTGGGAGGGAAGGATCCCGTTGTTTCTATCCAGGTGAGCGACCGAGCGCATGCTCATAAGATCAACACGCTCACCTGCGCCAGTAGCCTCACACACACCGTGAGGTGCATTGTACAGAACAACTCAAGCATTGGCTCATGAGTAAATATTTGACTTTTTCAAACTACCTTTTCATGCCGTCTTTGAAGAATAGCTCCATGTCGGCCGAGAGACTGAACATGTAGACTCTTTTTAGTGCTGTTATCTGATGTGGATTAGATGGAGCACGGTACATAAACTGAATAAGTGACAGACAGGCTTCTCAGGCAGGTCCCTGTACAAGGTAAGTGTATGTTTCTGTGTGTGGACATGGGCTTGTGTATACATTAATGAATGTATTCGCCAAAACCTCTCAACTCCACGCTGCTCTGCCCTGCGCCCTCTGCCTGCTGCTCGTTAGATACCTGTTTGAGGCAAGCATGTGCAATCGTCCGCTTTCACAATTGTGTCACACGAGCTGTACTCGTAATGTAATGTTGAATGCGTGCTGTTGCAGATACCTGGCCACGCCACTGGCTAATGTTTGGGGGATCAGGGACAATGTACGTCTGACAGCAGAGCCAAACCCCCTCCTAGAAAACTACTTCCGCTGTCGAGCACGCGCCCCATCGCAGGTATGTGAAAGTTTCACTGATAAAAACACGTGGTTGCTTTGTTGTTCACATGCAATGATCCTAATCAACTGTCATTTGGTGCATTACATTTTGATTGCATGATTTTGTGTAGTGTTAAAAGAGATAAACGTCCTCAGAGAGCGTATCAGCTGTGTGGTTTCCCTCGTGTCTCAGGTGGATGTGAGGTCTCTGTGTAAGAAGACCAGCTGGTCGGAAAGGAGAGTCCAAGTGTGGTTTAAGAGAAGGAGGAACCAGGAGCGCCCATGGCTTCGGAAGAGGTTCTGCGAGGCGAGGTGTGTGTTTGACTGTGCACTGACGTGAGAACAAGTGTCTCTGTGTAAATATGTAACATTGTTGTTGTTGTCTGTCAACAGCTGGAGATGTGTATTTTATACTTTTGCATTTGTCTATGGGGTCCTAGCTCTCTATGATGTAAGTAGCTTTGGCTCAATCTGAGGTTTTAGCACTATCTCTCTTGTGTCAGTAATTGCTTTTTCATTGCACAAATTGTTTGCTTTGCTACTTTGGGGAGAATCTGTCTATTTGTTTTGTCTATGTATTTGGGTGCATTACTCTGATTTCACTGTTATGTGCAGTGTGTGAACCTCACATGTCTCTTTGGGCTTCAGGGTTATCTTACACGCAGACAAACATACATGAGCTTGTTGGCTAACATTAACCCTTCTCAAGGCAAACCCCCCGCCGCCCACACACATGTATTTCCCTCTGTTTTTGTTGGCTGCAGAAACCGTGGCTTTATAACCTGAGGGAGGTTTGGGCCGGCTTTCCCTAGACAGGTAAGGGATTTTGCTCTTGCTTTCAGGCTGCTGTTCACAATATTACAGTATGCAAACATCTGAGAAAACTAAAGAACTCTGGGATTCCATGAACACATTAATCCAATCAGCACAACCATACCCTCATTAATCTGAAGAAATGAAGCCTCTAGAGTGTATACTTTGGCTGCAAGGACAGAAGTTCCATATTTTTTTAACCAGATTCCTGCGATGCCCCACACTCTAGCCCTCGAGGTCCCCCTCTAGCAGACGCAATACACACTCATGTAAAAGTCAGAAACGGAGCGAAGAACTAGTGAAACATAATCAGTGATTATGAAAAAAGTACAAAAGATATCAACAAGCAGTTTTTTTCATAAAATAGTTGAGACCTGTGTCAACATTTGGAAGTTCAAATGGTGTCTGTAGCTGAAAGATTGGCGGAGCTGAAATATCTGAAAGTTGAAGAAGTTTAAGGAGGATTTGAAAACAAACTCAAACTTAAAATTTGAACGGTTTAAATAGCTGAAAATGTGAAGGAGTTGAAAGGGGGCGCGGAAGAAATAGAAGAAGAAGCTGAAGAATACAGATTCGAAGAACAATACTTGGAATGCATAATGCATTCCAACAACTAGAAAAGGCATTTCCTGCTGAAAATGTGTTGGAATGCAAAAAACTGAAAGCTGAAATTAACTTTTTAAAATAGCTGAAAATACTGAAAGTTGAAGGGAATTTGAATATATTTGCTGAAATAAAAGATATTAGAAAAGCTGAAATGAATTTGAAATTGCTGAAAATACAGAAATGGGAGAAGCTGAAAGGAATTTCAATAGATTTGCTGAAAAAGCAGAAATGAAAACAGCTGAAATAAATGTGAAATATTGCAAAAAAGAATACAGAAATTAATATTAAAACATTGCTGTTAATAGAGGCATAAGAAAAGCAGAAATTATTTTAAAGAACTGCTGAAAATACAGGAAGTGGGGAAGCTGAATTTCTAAAAAAGATTTTCTAAAAACAGAAGTTGCAGGAGCTTAAATTTTTTTTAAATTGTTTTTAGTAATATTAGTAGGGCTTTTATTTTGAAATTATTGGATTGGGTGGGGTGGGGGGATGTAGATAGAGGGAGGGAGGGTGAGGAAGGGAGGTGTGGTAAAGAAGAGATAGAGGGAGAGAGAGGGGAGGAGAAATAGACAGACATACTGACTGAGAGTGATTAACAGTGAGAAGAGGTCAGGGGGGAGGGGGGAGGGGGGGCCAGTGTCTTTATCATATTGGTCTGTTGACAGAAAGCATAGCTGCGTCATGTGACTCCACTAATCAGGTCACAAGGAGCAGCTGTGAGTCACACACAGATCCTGCAGCATGTGAGTGCTCGTAACCACGACAACGCCGCACCTGTGATCATTAACGGCTGCAAAATGCAGAGACATGGCAGCAAGTTACACAGAATCCACACCTCAAACAAATGACATTCAGCGCAAAACTATAACAGCTATCTAAAAAATACGGCGTTTTTACGAGACCCAAGACTCTACCGAACGCGTGGATGTGTTTTTATGTCTGTCCGGTAATAAATACGGCTCCTCTTGCCGTTGACAAAACGTGTACCTTCTGGATTTTTTGAGAAATATGTCAGCAGATTTGTATTGGAGCCTATGGGGCTTTTGGCAGAGGTTGTGTCACTCTAACACTCCTTAAGCAAAAACTAAAGAACTCTGGGATTCCATGAACGCATTAATCCAATCAGCACAACCATGCCCTCATTAATCTGAAGAAATGAAGCCTCTAGAGCAGGGGTCTCAAACTCAAATCAGCTGCGGGCCAGATGCAGCCCACTTCAACCGAACGCGGGTCAGACTAGCGTCCGAACGGCATGGTCGACGGGGGGTGGGGTACGCCAAAGTCGGTACCCCACCCCCGCGGCGGTCTGCCACACCGGAGTTTGAGACCCCTGTAATAAAGAGTGGAAGCTTTATTAAAACACTGATGTGTTATACTATGATAATAAATGCTTGTATAAACACAACTCACCTGTATCCTCTGCTGAAGCTGCTCAGTGGAGGGGGGGGTGTCCTCCTGCCCCACGGCCCTCTCCTCCCCCTCAGGTTCCTGGTTCAGGGGTTGGTAGTAATATCCTCCATCGTTCTCCTCTTCCTCTCCATCCAGCTCCATCTCGGACCCCACCTCCCCCTCCTCCTCCTCCTCCTCCCCCCCACTCCACGCAGGCAGCATAGCTCCATCGGCTGGGCGCTCGCTCCCCCCCAGCTCATCCTCAGAGTTTGGTAAGACTCGCTCCGGTCCCATCGCTGAGCTCAACACTTCCATCCACAGACACACTGAGAGACAGACAGTTTGTCAACAACAATAACACAACTTAACACTCACTTTCAAAAGCAGTCATTGAACCCCACCCTGGGGGATCGGTCCGAATGAGACTACAACACTAGTCCTCCTTTAACTCAGCGGGGGAGACCTAAGGTCATGTGACCGTGGAATTCCTTTATAGCCAAACGTGAAGTTACGTGAATCGAAGCTGCGTAGTAATGGACGGAGACGCTCGTCGGTGACGTCAGATGCTTCATGTGTTGTTAGTGTGAGTCGTAAAGGAAAACTTTATTAAACGAGCGATGCTGACGGTTAGTCACATGATCACCTGCGCGAAAGAGGGCAGGAAACTGAATTTCACCCTCCTGCTCTCTGCACCTCTGCCGACACACACGACCCGCCCCCCATGTCAGTCACATGCATGCCACGTTCACTGGACAAGCACACAGTAGGAAACCAGAACATCATAACATGTCCCACACAGCAGCTGACAATGGGGTTACAGTATAAAACTTGCGGGCCGCACTAACATTACACTTTCATATTAAGGATGGGGCCACAAAATATCGTCCCGAGGGCCGCAATTGGCCCGCGGGCCGCGAGTTTGAGACCCCTGCTCTAGAGTGTATACTTTGGCTGTAAGGACAGAAGTTCCATATTTTTTTAACCAGATTCCTGCGCTGCTTCACCCTCTAGCCCTCGAGGTCCCACTCTAGCAGACGCAATACACACTCATGTAAAAGTCAGAAACGGAGCGAAGAACTAGGGAAACATAATCAGTGATTATGAAAAAAGTACAATAGATATCAACCAGCAGTTTTTTTGTGACTTGTGTCAACATTTGAAAGTTTAAATGGTGTCTGTATCTGAAAGATTTGCGACACTGAAAAATCTGAAAGTTGAAGAAGTTCAAGAGGATTTGAAAACAAACTCCATTTGAAAACCATGTTAAAATATGAATGATTATTGATTTATATAAATTCAAGCTTAAGAGGTAGAAAGCTGAAAAGTCATAGCCCTCAAGCCAGAAAGGAGCCGAACATTTTAATATTTGAAGGATTTTAATAGCTGAAAGTGTGAAGGAGTTGAAAGGTGCCACGGAAGAAATAGAAGAATAAGTTGATTAAAGATTCGAAGAACAATACTTGGAATGCTTAATGCATTCCAACTAATAACACCACAAATACTTCCACAATGGTGATGATGGGGATGGCAATGATAATCTTGTTTGATGTTTCGTGCCCAGGTGAATCTCACTAGTTGTATTCAGGCCTGCGTGGCCACCGCATTCATCATTACCAGGTACGCGCACATACACACTTAAAACCTAACAAAGCCCAATCAACACACGTTGCAAAAAATGTATGTCATTGTGGAAGGTAGTCCACTTTGACCCCCAGGAGAGGCTTGAATATGAGAGACAACCTGTTCCAGTAAGTATACAATACATCCTCATGGTTAACTATTACACCTGTAGCAACATCAGTATTTTGTGTTCTGTAAAACTGTGGTATAAAAAACGCTCCTTAATTTCTTCCCCTTGCAATCGCCATGCAATCATGATCATTTTTCTACAGGCAAATGTGACTGTGCTGATCAAACACTACAAGACAAACCAGGCTCTCGCTGTTCTGGGAGATCATGTCCTTTGGTATTTACATTTTTCATTTTAAATGTAACCTAAATCACATGATGGAAAGGCTTTCAATTTGCTGTCCGATGTCAATTTGGAGGTCCTAGTATAAATTATATATAAATATGTGAGATGGCTGAGCAATACAACTGTATCGTTGATGTAAGTGCCTAATGAAGACACAAATATACCTTGTTATAAGTCAGCTAATTGTGGGATCAGCGGCAAACAATGAGGAGCCCCCACCTGCAAACCCTGATGTCTAAATCAGGGTAACACAGTAACACAGTTCACACTCATGCAGTAACGGGTACAAATACGGCAGATGGATACTACATCGCTGATAAAACTTTAACCATTTTAAAATAAAGCTTGATTTTGTTTTATTTGGGTCTTTTTTTCCCACCCATACACATTCTTCCAGGATGAACAAGGTTGAGGTTATAAGATACACATTAGCCGGCCAGACTGCTGGCTTTGTTGAAACAACCATTTGATATGTATCTTAAAAACAACCCTTGTACTGTTTTGGTGGCGCAGTTGCTGAATCAAATAAAAGCATTTTGTAACACACAGCAGATGAAGAGGCATTGGCTTTGGTACTAACTTATTATACTGCTTAAAAAACATGCTCTGACCTTTTAAAAAGGTGGGTTTCTCGTTTTGTTCAAGTAGTAAAGTCACCAAGTCCTTGGGTTGTATTTTCAGCCTCACAGACAGCCTCATAATGAAATGTATCTTTTCAACTTCTTAACCTGCTTACCTTCATATTGTCTTGTTGAAGCCTTCTCACTTATCTGCAGCTGTCTCCATCATCTACACATATTTAGGGGGTCTGTACTCAGTGGCGTATAAAGACATCATCCAGCTTTCCTTCATCTTTGTCAGCCTGGTGAGAAACACCAGAAGCACTTTAGTTACGAGCTTCGGATGCCTTGCGCCATTGTGCTGCCTCGCTTTTCTCACTGTAATTCTCTCTGGATGCTCTCTGCAGCCTCCTCATCTCGGCCTCCGGTCACCTGCTGCTGGGACCGTTTTTATTATGGGAATCCCCTCAGTCCTCAATGGACTA